ATATATATATATATATATATATATATATATATATATATATATATATATATACAGGACGGAGAGAACAGTAATTATGCTGCCATTTCTTAGCCACCCTACTTTCGGTTCTCATACTTTGTTACCTCAAAAACCACAGTTTAACCTCTAATAATTCGGAAGCAAATTAGGGTTTTCTTACACTTAATGAAATTCAACATTTTATCAGCTTCTTTTAACATTTTCTACTAATTAGTCTTGTAATGTGTCTTTTTTTTTTTTTTTGAGAATGGTAACATAAAACTTGTAATGTGTCTTTACCAAATTTTCACGTGATTCAAGTTCCAATTATCAAAAGACAATCTCAGCCACCTCCATCAACAAATTATAGAAAATACCTACATGTGTAACCCATTGCAACCAACACAGAACAATTTTAGCTGGCCAAGACAAATTGAATGAAACAAACACTGGTTCCAACAGTATAACACCCTCATAATGATGTCAATCATAGAGGTATGCGTCCTTTTTCATACGGTCAAAGAAAGTTGACTTATTCACAACATAAATAAACATATAATATGCTGAACACAAATTTGCTTAACCTTTAAAATAAATCACTGTTTCACGTATAGGAAACCAGTACTGTTTGACACCAAATTCCAGATTTTTTGTATTATGCAGTAGTTAAAGAAAACAAATAAAGTAGAAACCACTAGGATATTACCATCTATCCGTCTAACCAACTCCTTTAGCTTAAACACAAGGCGCTGGATTCCTGGTTGAGCAAATGTGTAATGGTCTTGCATCCCATCAAGCAATTTTGATAGACACCAATAACAGTCAGCTTCTATGTTAGATATTTTCTCAGAAGGCAGATCAGACATCATCCATTTGTCAATGCTCCCTTCTAAGTGTTCTGACAAGAAAACAACTAAGAATGGTGTTGCAAGATCATTTATTCCCTGCACATATCCACTGGCAGGGTGCCGGATGGCCCTAGAAAGGAAAATGTTAAATCACCAACATATGAGAGAGCATCCAAAACACCAACATGAGCAATTAAAAAAGGTTAATGGATGCCCATGCATCTTCTATTCTCTAAGTTTTATTTTCTGGACACCCTTAAGGGGATGGCTACTACGGCCTAGGGGTATGCATTCCGGTTTTGATTTTTTTTTTTTTGTATTATTTGGATCCACTTTTTCAGTTTTCCGTTTTCGCAATCCAGATAGGGGTTGATCTGTGTTTTATTTCTGCCAAGCTTCCGGTAGCGAGAGCACGACCACTTATACCGATTTACTTGATACTTATCCCCTATTGCATTGAATCAATTAAAAAAGAGGTCAGTGCTACAACCCTCTGTTGTTTGATCCAATATTGAACGGGGATGAGCAATCCAATCAAAACCAAAATAAATTCGGTTTGGGCTTTATTTCTCTCTTTTCGATTTGGTTTGGTTTGGGTTATTGGATTTCTCTTAATTGCTTGTACATAGCAAAATCTTAGTGTGCTAATTGGTGTACAAATCAGTAACTATAAAGAAGAGGAGATCATAAATTTCTCATGATTCTTTTTTCTTTCCATACATACATATACTTGCCAAGATGTACGTGCTTTCTGAAAAAAAAAGAGATAAGTTCATGAAACTACAAAAATTGTGAGTTCGCTTAAAAGAACTCTCTGATGGGAGAGACATCCTTAATATTAATCAAGCTAACTCATCAAATGAAAGTCACCTTATACTCTGAAATGATCGTTTGAAAAACTTGAAACCATTTTTCACACTCTCAGAAAATGTCAAACATAGCAAACATATAAATAAATAATAAGGATATAATCATGGTAGTTGATTACAAATTACAAATAAATTAAGTAGATCTTATCTGAAAATCCGTTTACATTATCTTCTGCCAACTGACATACTGTGGCACCAAACATTAAGTATATTGTAGTTGCAAAAGTAAGAAAACTGAAAGACTGAAAGATGGGAACTAGGAAAGAAGAGTTCAAGCTTAAGACAAGCAAACCCCGAAATTTTAAAAAAACATAAGATATTTAAGTGCAAAATAAAAATTAAAAAAAAAAAGTATATATTAGTAATTCAAGTTTTTGTTTTTTTCAATTTTTATTTTAAAAAATACGTATTCAAACCGAAACCAACAATCATAAATTTTTATCTAAGACCAAAAAATAAAAAAAAGGAAAACCAAAATATTCGTTTTGCTTTGGTTCTTCCGTTTAAACTGAATAATGCACATTCCGAATGGCTACTACCAATTTCGACCATGCCAACAGCCCATTACAACCCAATCATTGCTTTCTCATCTAGTTCCACATCTTAACTAAAGAAATGAATGTAATATTTTCTTTACTCTTCCTTTTGTAGAGAAACTTTGGATTCAAGGAGAATGTTACAGATAACAAATACAGAGAAGTAGAAATAGTTTACCAAATGTAGAGTATGCGCTCCAGGGATTTCTGAACTTGTGCTTGTTGGAAAAAAGAAACATCAGGCACCGTTCTAGGGCAGTCAACAGCAATCTAATAGCACAAGAGAAGCAGTAGTTATATGATTGATGACATCCGGAAAGTGAGGCATAAAAAAGATCAAAACAGACAACCCAACAGCATCTTATAAGGGGTTGAGGGCTAGCTCACTTGGTGAGCTCCCTGCCTTCCACATTAAAGGTGGAGGGTTCAAACCCCATCAGTAGCATAGCTTCCCCTTCCCCTTTCCCCCTCCCCCGATGTAATAAAAAAGAACAGCATCCATAATACCTGCCGAAGCATGTTGATCTCTTCATCTGTGCGCTCAATATCTGAAATGTCATAGTACTGAGCAACACAATCAAGATAATCTAGACGCTTTCTTCTCAGAACTCCCTCCCTTCTATCTGAATTAGGGGGTGCATATCCCTGTTGTCAGCTCATTATTTAAATTTCATAAGAAGCAACAAACTATGTCTAATAAGAAAACCCGCAATCTAGTTTGGCAGGTTTTGTAAACAATGTAGGAAGCAAGCAAACTTGTGTACAGGAATATTAGCAAACTGAAGCAGAGATCTAGTGATTAGCGAGCTCTGGCTAAAAGTTCAATTTCAACAAAAGAAGTTCACAGGATAGGGGGTGCATATCCCTGTTGTCAGCTCATTATTTAAATTTCATAAAAAGCAACAAACTATGTCTAATAAGAAAACTCGCAATCTAGTTTGGCAGGTTTTGTAAACAATGTAGGAAGCAAGCAAACCTGTGTACAGGAATATTAGCAAACTAAAGCAGAGATCTAGTGATTAGCGAGCTCTGGCTAAAAGGCCAATTTCAACAAAAGAAGTTCACAGGATAGGCTAATATATCCCCAAATAAATACCAAAACCAACAATTACTATTATCAGAACTCATATTTTAAACAGCGCTGCATGAAATGCTTCATATGCAAGATTCTTTTAAGTACTTCTACAGGTTAACCAGAGATTACTAATATCAACAAAATTATACAACGGCACTGCATGAAACGCTTTTTTTTTTTAACTGAGAAATCCTAAAGGGCCAATGGCGCACGTTCGAAGCTCAGTGGATGATAAGCCCCTACCTCTACCCTTCTCTTAAATACCAGACTTCTTCTTTTTTGAGATTGATAAATACCAGACTTTTATTTGCAGCATGGTTTGAATCCGTGACAGCACCTTACCCACACATCACATTGCACACTTACCACTAGACCAAAGCCTCGGGAACCACCGCATGAAATGCTTCATATACAAACATCTTTCAAGAACTCTTTTTTATCAGCATAAAACATCTTTTAAGAACTTCTATAGGTTGGTTGTATTCTTGAGTACCAGGACCAAGGAGAGTCTCAACTTCTAGAATCCAGTATATGACAGAACAACAACAACTATGCCTCAATCCAAACAAGTTGGGGTCGGCTATATTAATCCCCACTTTTTTATTTAAGCTCAACTCATATTATCATCATACCAAATAAAATAAAAATAAATTTAATATATATATATTAAAAGTTCTCTAACAGGTCTAAAACTTATTCTCAACTAGTAAATAGTACCTATATGTATCTTTTTCTTCCATTGTGTCTTATCTTTAGTTAAGCTGCATTGATTCCAAGGAATTGTAGGTCTTACGAGACAATTTCTATTCATGTGATGTGTTACGCGGCGCCTTCCTGAGATTCCTTGGAAGGGCGACGTAAGGCTAGGCAACTGATGTCAGTGCAGTTGCTGTCCGCCAACTGAGGTCCCCTCCCCTCCGTACGCTAGACGAGATTGTCAGTGCCGTACGGGAAAACCAATGTCAAGAGCAATTGAGAGAACAGAAATGAGAATTCAGAATGAAAGAAAGCTTGATTGCATTAATGAAAGCTATTACAGAAAAGCAACGCGGTGTCGAGGGGGAGAGACACCAGTACAGAGAATTGCTTGCTTGCTAGAAAGTTTTGATTGCTTGATCCCCCCTAATAATACTTAAAAAAATAATCCAAAGCTACAAGACTAGACTTGACTAAGCTAGAGAAACATAATGGAAGTACATGAAATAAAACTACTCTATATTTACAATGAAAATGACTTAGTTTTCTATAAGGCGGCAGCAGGTCCGTTGTCAGCAGCAGTGTCTTTGGCATCACGGTCTGCGCGCGCGGCGTTGTCTGCGCGCACGGCGCTGTTGGCTTCTGCCTGCAGCTTGGCGCTGGCGTGGGATATCGGTGGGGCGACAGAGGCACCTGCGCGCTTGTCACTTGGCGCGGCCAAGACCACGGGGCCGTCCGTGGCGCTAGGCATTGGGAGGCTTGCTAGGACGCCACGGGGCGCGCCCAAGGGGTCATGGGGCATGGCTGGAAAACCGCCCATGACATTCTCCCCCACCTGAGTTGGCGACGTCCTCGGCGCCTTACTTGCAAAATAATCTTCAATGAGGCTCTTGTAGGCTTTGAGGTTTGTTCCCCTCTCCCAAGTATTCTCTTCTGCATCACAACCCTGCCATTTCACCAAAAATTCTTGGTGATCTTTCCTTGAGGCATGAATCACTCTGTCATCAAGGATAGCTTCAACACGCCTTTTCCCGGTTGAATTGGGACCTCCAATACTGGGTATTGTAAGCTGGCTCCTTGAAGGATCCTCCGTGTCTTCCCGAAAAGGTTTCAGGAGACTGACATGGAAGACAGGATGAATTTTCCACCAAGCTGGGGTATCCACCCGGTATGCAACCTTCCCAATACGATTTTCAATGGACAAGGGTCCAATGTATTTTTGCAATAGACGAGGGTCATGGACCCCTGCAAATAAGTACCGCTTTGGAATTTTGACCATCACTTTGTCTCCTACTTGATATTCAACAAAGCGACGATTCTGATCAGCATGCCTCTTCATCCGCTTTTGAGCTTTGACAAGATAGCTCTGCACTATCTCCAAATTCCGCTTCCACTCTTTTGAGAAGCTAGCAACTCGAGGAGATTTAGCCATGTTTGGTGCATTCACAGTGTGTGGGAGTAGCGGTTGCTGTCCGGTAACAATTTCAAAAGCGCTTTTGTTTGTACTAGAGCTCTTTTGTGAATTGAAACACAGTTGAGCAGCATCCACAAGCTTCACCCAATTCTTCTGCGATCCGATTACAAAGTGGCGCAGATATTCCTCCAACATACCATTGAACCGCTCCGTCTGACCATCAGATTGCGGATGAAAACTTGAGCTATGATTCAATTTTGACCCAAGGCACTTAAACAGTTGGGTCCAAAAGTTGCTAGTGAAACGTGAGTCGCGATCATTAACAATATCTTTGGGCAGGCCGCAATATTTGATGACATGAGAGAAGAAGAGTCGAGTTGTATCTTCTGCTGATATGTATTGTGGGGCTGCAATAAAGGTGGCATACTTGGAAAACCGGTCCACCACAACCAAGATGGTTGTGAGATCTCCGACCTTGGGCAATCCGGTGATGAAATTCAGGGAAACGCTTTCCCAAGGTCTCTTTGGGACAGCGAGTGGTTCCAAGAGTCCCGCTTGTGTCAAGCGGTCCGACTTGTCCTTCTGGCATACTAGACAAGTCTTCACATACTGAGCGACATCATCGGCCATTTGAGGCCAATAATAGGCACGACGAAGTAACGCCATGGTGCGTTCTTCACCGGGATGGCCGGCCCACAGAGTATCATGACATTCCGCTAGAAGAGTCCTCCGCAAATCTCCTCCTTTAGGAACATAAAGTCGGTTCCCTTTTACTTTCAGAAAACCATCTTCCATGTAGAACTGGCGAGTCTTGCCCTGTCCTACCAAATCAACCAAATACTGAGCAGCAGGATCCTTGATGAGTAGATCCCGTATTTGGTCCTTGATGGATGTGGCTACTTCGCTCCCCCTTAGGGTGGCGAGTAGGCACACCGATGCTAGATCAGCTCTCCGACTGAGCGCATCAGCAACATGATTGGTCTTTCCACTGCGATACTCCAAGTTGAAGTGGAATTCAGCTAGGAGTTCCTGCCACCTGGCCTGTCGACCGTTCAACTTCGGCTGGGTCATGAAATGGCTAACAGCTGTGTTGTCTGTCTTGACCACGAACGGGGTTCCCAGCAGATAGTGCCTCCAGAGGCGCAAGCAGTGGACGACAGCCAATAATTCTTTCTCATGGGCGGCATAGCGCCGCTCTGCATCCTTCAGCTTCCGACTCTCGTACGCTACAGGGTGCCCTTCTTGTAGCAGGACTCCGCCGAGTGCATAGTCAGAAGCATCTGTTTGTACCTCGAACGGCTTGGCCAAATCAGGAAGGGCCAAGACGGGACTACTAGACATAGCCGCTTTTAATGCGTTGAAGGGCCTCTGCTCTCCTTGGTCCCCAATCCCAAGGTGTGACCTTCTTGAGGAGTTCTGTCAATGGCACTGCGATAAGTGAGTAGTTCTTCACAAACCGCCGGTAGAAGTTGCATAGGCCAAGGAACGCCCTCAAGGCGTGGACATCCTTAGGTGGCGGCCAATCTGTGATGGCCTGGATTTTCTGTTGGTCCATCTTGATGCGTCCTTCCTCGATGACATGTCCGAGGAAATCAATTTGCTTCTGAGCAAAGGAGCACTTGGATAACTTTGCATATAGTTCATGCTCCCGCAACCGAGCTAGGACCTTCCGCAAGTGTACTAGGTGTTCTTCCAATGTCTGGCTATATACCACAATGTCATCTAAGTAGACCACCACAAATTCATCGATGTACTCTCGGAAGACTTGGTTCATGAGAGTGCAAAGCGTAGCAGGGGCGTTGGTCAAGCCGAACGGCATGACCAGGAAGTCGTACGACCCATATCTTGTCACACAGGTCGTCTTGTGTTCATCACCCTCTGCAATCCGAACTTGCCAATAACCTGTCTTCAGATCTATCTTGGTGAACACCGTAGCACCACCCAATCTATCAAACAAGTCTGCCATTAGAGGAATAGGGTACTTTTTCTTCACAGTGATTTTGTTTAGAGCTCGATAATCCACACAGAGTCGCAGGCTGCCATCATGTTTCTTTTGGAATAGAACAGGGGACCCATATGGGGACTTGGAGGGTACAATGATCCCCGTATCTAGCATTTCCGTCAATTGTCTCCGAAGCTCGGTGAGTTTGGGTTGTGACATTCTGTAAGGCGCCCGGGCAGGTGGCTTCGCGCCCGGCACCAACTCAATTTCATGGTCCACAGTGCGCCTAGGCGGGAGCCGCTTTGGCATGTCTTGTGGCATGACATCTTCAAACTTCAGTAGTAACTCCTTCACGGGTTCAGGAATGGGACCCGAGGAGCGTTCTATATCTTTAATGCAGAGGGTTGCCAGGAACGTAGGTTCATTCCTTTTGACCCCCTTCTTCAACTGCAAGGCCGAGATGTTCTCAACGGCCATCTTCATGGGCAGGCACGGGATAATGCAGGGCTTGGCCCTAT